CCCCTCTTCTTCCCCCTTCCGCGTTTCCCTGCCTTCCCCCGTCTTCTCCTCGGCGTACCGCCACTTTTCCCCCCACTCTGTGTTGTCTACCGCCGTAGCGTGATCGCTCCAATGGGGCGGGCTTTGAATTCACATGATGGGCTTCGTTCCACTACTTGCAAAATGTGCCAAATGAGACTGCATCCTCCGCTAAAACCTGGGAGGATACGTTGCCAACTTGCCATATTTTTCGTCTTTGCGTCCGTTTCGAGAGTGAGTGTGTTGTCCATGGGATCATCATCGGCCCTTCAGTGTCCTTGTGGTCTGACTGTTGTGCTATTGTCCAAATGTGCTGAAGTGTGGAGTGTATCTTCAGCTAGCGCATGGAAAGGTACACTCGCCGTTTTTTTTCTTCGTTCTCACACTTGACTATGAGTGAACTGCTTTTTCTCACATCTGGCGATCAGTGGATCGACAACCAAAGTCTATCTCTCGCTTTTTTTGGTGTTTTTGGTTTTTGTTTTCGAAATGTATTGGGTAGTTCTGTTTGATGACATATGTATGTGTGTGTGTGTGTGTGTGTGTGTGTGTCGGTCTTTATTATTGTTTTATCCGTTGTCTGTCTGGCAGCCACCTCGACATACACACTTGTCGTTTTTGGGCCCGCACCAGCCACAAAGCAAAGTGATTGCACATTTCAAAAGGTAAGCAGAATGATCACGTGAGTTTTTTTGCCCTTGTTTTATCTTTTTTCCCCCTTCTTTTTCCAAGGGCAACCGCCAGCCTCAGGTAGTTCAGAGTTATGTTATTTCATTCATCTATCATCTGGATTCGAACTTGCGTCTGTATCCCAACAGCTAATCTGTTTGGCCACTGAAATAGGCCCGTTGGGTTTTTTTCTCTTTCTTTTTTCTTTGGGACCATTTCTCGATTCACGTGTGTCGTGCTTGCGCAAGTGCGAATAAAATGGGTGCAAAATAAACGACGATCAAACATGAGAGGAGAATGAAAAGGAAGAGAATTATGACAAAGGGAAATGAAAAGGAGGAGAATTACTCTCTCTCTCTCTCTCTCTCTCTCTTTCTCTGTGTGTGTGTGTGGAATTGACTGGGGCCTGCACAAGCAGTGGAGCATGTGGTTTGTGCAGAGCGGATGATCTGTAGGGGATCTCAGATGGAAATTGAACGGTCTTTTCTTTTTTTTTCCTAGGGCTCGCCTATGTGGGCGTGTTAGTGGAGATGTGCAGAGCGGGCAGTTTGGGAAGGGGGTCTTCTTGAGGCAGGGGTCCTGATACTCTTTGTTTCTAGGACTGTACTTAGACTGTACAATCCGTCTAAAGTTTGTTCCCAACCTCGCTCTACCTGACTCCTCACTCCAAAGACAATCTCATCCTCAGGAGAGGCGGTTAACAGTGAACCCCAACTTTCAGCCCCAGTTAACCCCCGCAACCCTGAAAAGTGCATTGGAGATCTGAAAAGTGGGGTTCCCTGTTAACCGCTTAGAAAGGTAGAAATGTCATGACTAACGAGGCAAACTGCTCTGAACAAACACCAATCACAAGGCGGACAACTTGAACTTTTTTATTTTTATTTTTATTTTTAAAACAGAACCTGATGGTCCTGGCTCCTTTTCCATTCTGGGGAGCATCAGTCCGGTTCCTATTCCCCCGGCAAGTCCAAGATAGTACAAAGGTTACTCACTCACGCTCCTCCCCCTTATGGTGTGGAGGCCCAGAAGATGGCATTGATTTCTTCCGTGCGGAAGGATGTACCGATCTTCACCCCTGCCTAAGTTAGCTTGTTCTAGTAGGTTCTGTTTGACTCTACTGCAAATCCTGGGGCTCTTATATAGCTGATCTTCTCTATCAACTGGGCGGCAGCCTGCGACATGTCTGTGTTTTCTCTATGACAGTGGGTGTGTCACACTCCTCTGTTCTACTTTTGTAGGCCTTGGGCGTAGTTTAACTTGAGGCTGACCCTTGAAGCTAAAACCCTGTCCCCTAGCTTGGCTGCACTCTGCAGATAAGACTTTCGTGATGGTTGTATCTTAGATAGTTTACTGTTAGAGTGTGGTCTGTTTGAATTCCATAGCCTTTTCCCGAAATTCGAGCAGATGGGGGTGGTGAGAGGAAGGGGGGGTATGCGTGAGTTAGTATGTGTTTTTCCGGCTTGGGGGTTGGGGAGGGGGGGTGTGAGAACATGTGCAGAGGAGGAGGCGGCTGTGTGGTTGCTGCTGCGGAGGTGGATGAGCGGTATGGGGTCGATTTGATGACCGTGTTGGCTGAGATAAAGTTGATGATGGGCGAATTGGTACTGTTGTTGTGCGTCTCTGATTGTAACTGCCTTTGGGCTTTTTTTGATCCCAGAGCCCAAGGTTTGTCTAACTCGTCTATCACCCTCTCTCTCTCTCTCTCACACACACACACAC